GCGTTCAGCTCCAGGTTGTTACCACTGCACCAGGACACCAGCCGGTCCACCTCCCTCCTGTAGGCGGACTCATCGTTGTTGGAGATGAGTCCAATGAGGGTGGTGTCGTCCGCGAACTTGATCAGCTTCACGGAGTTGTGGCTGGAGGTGCAGTGGTTGGTGTACAGGGAGAAGAGCAGGGGAGAAAGAACACAGCCCTGTGGGGCTCCTGTATTTATAATCCGAGAGTCCGAGACATTCTTCCCCAGACGCACTCGCTGCTTCCTGTCCGTCAGGAAGTCAGTGATCCACCTGCAGGTGGAATCGGGCACGTTGAGCTGGGAGAGCTTGTCCTGGAGCAGGGATGGCAGGATTGTGTTGAAGGCAGAGCTGAAGTCCACGAACAGGACCCTGGCGTAGGTCCCCGGGGAGTCCAGGTGCTGTAGGATGTGGTGGAGGGCCAGGTTAATGGCGTCGTCTACAGATCTGTTGGCTCTGTAGGCGAACTGCAGGGGGTCCAGGAGGGGGGAGGTGAGGGACTTGAGATGGGAGAGAACCAGGCGTTCAAATGACTTCATGACGACAGACGTAAGTGCTACAGGTCTGTAGTCATTGAGTCCTGTGATCCTGGGCTTCTTCGGGACGGGGACAATGATGGAGGATTTGAAGCAGGCCGGGACATGGCAGGACTGCAGAGAGGTGTTGAAAATGTCCGTGAACACAGGAGTAAGCTCACTGGCGCAGTGTCTCAGAGTGGCCGGAGACACGTGGTCCGGGCCAGGAGCTTTGCGGGGGTGCAGCCTCAGGAAGAGTTGTTTAATCTCTTTAGCGGCTATTGTTAGGCTGGGGGCAGGGCTGATGGGTGGGTTGTTAGAGTAGTGGGGGGTGGGGGAGGGAGAGGTGTCAGGGGCAGCATCAAAGCGACTGAAAAATAAGTTCAGATCGTCAGCTAGCTTGTGGTCGTCAGCACAGGGGGGGGCTTTGGGTTTGTAGTTGGTGATCTCCCGTAGGCCCCTCCAGACAGAAGCAGTATCGTTGTTACCAAACTGCTCCTGTAGTCGTTCTCTGTGCCGGGACTTGGCTGCTTTCAGTTCTCTCCTGAACTGATATTTAGCTGCTTTGTAGCCGCTGCGGTCCCCCTCCCTGAAAGCAGACTCCTTTGCTTTCCTGAGCTGCCGGAGTTTAGCAGTGAACCAGGGTTTGTCGTTGTTATAGATGACCCTGGTCCTTGTTGGAATGATGCTATCCTCACAGAAGTGAAGGTGAAGTACAGAGATGTATCATGGAGTGATCTGAGAAGCCGAGGGCTGGCTTGGGAACAGCGCGAAAAGCTCCGCGCACGGTGGTGTAACAGTGATCCAGAGTGTTCTCCTCTCTGGTCGGGCATTTGATAAACTGTCTGTATTTGGGTAATTCCTGGCTCAAGTTTCCCTTATTAAAATCCCCCAGGATAATAATCAGAGAGTCCGGGTATAAACGTTCCATACACAGTACTTGCTCTGCGAGTGCGCGCTGAGCCTCGCGCGCGTCCGCGCATGGCGGTATGTAAACAGAGGCAAGAATGAATGAAACAATTTCGCGCGGGGAGTAATATGGTTTACAATGAATGAAAAGATATTCCAGAGCAGGAGAGCAGTGCTTGGAGATCACTGTCACATCGTTACACCAGTTTGTATTGACGTAGAAACACAGCCCACCGCCTCTGCTCTTCCCTGAGAGCGCACAATGGCGATCCGCGCGGAACAGCCCAAAGCCCTGCAGCTCCAGAGCGCAGTCCGGGATCCGCTCATTTAGCCAGGTCTCAGTGAAGCAGAGGACACAGGATGTGGCGAAGTCCTTGTTTCTTCTCATGAGCAGGCTGAGTTCGTCCATCTTATTGCCCAGTGAGCGTACGTTGGAGAGAATAATGCCGGGGAGAGCCGTGCGCGCTCCTCTCCTCCTAAGACGCACGAGCAGGCCTCCGCGCTTTCCCCTTTTACGGGCCCACACTTTTTTGGCTAGAACATGAACTAAATCAGCCGCAGATGCCAAGAAAACAGGCAATAGGTCCATGGGAACGGTGGGTCGGATGTTCATAAGTTCCTCACGGGTGTAGGAACAGCCAGATGCGCAGTTAAAAAGTAAAAACAAAAGAAAAAGATAGCAGCAAAGAGCCATGTCGACCGTACGAGGCGCCATCTTGAATGAAGATCTAATATGTTGTATTTCAAGTTATACTGTATTCCCTCACGAGTAAGGGAAGGTTAGAGTTTGAGATTGATAGCTCGATTGGTTCAGCGTCTGCAGTGATGTGGTCGGTGTTACTGCTAAAGCTGTTGCTTCTCCATGTTAAGAGCAGCTAGTTGAGATGGCTCTTCATCTGTTTGGGATGCTTCTTAGAGGCCTACCTGTGGAGGTGAGGACGGTTTCACGTCCTCTTGAACTCTCTCTTCAAAGTTCTTTTCAACTTTCCCTTACAGTACGATAGTCGAATATTGGTCTCGTGCCGGTATTTAGCCTTAGATGGAGTTTACCACCCGCTTTGGGCTGTTAACCATGTCTACCAAGAAGTGGCCATGGGGACGACCCAGAACACGCTGGAGTGACTATATCTGTCAGCTGGCCTGGGAACGCCTTGACATTCCCCTGGAGAAGCTGGAGCTGTGAAACCTGGACATCTCTGTTCAGACAACAGCCCCTGCATCCCGGCAACAGTGAAAGATGAAAAAAATGGATGGATTAATTTAAGACTTGGTATTTGATGTATCTGCTATACCATGAAGTTGTTGAAGTGTGTGAGTCCTGATGAGAAGGCTGAGAAGGAAACCGACTGCAAGTTTGGAACCTCAAGGATCATGGAAACACTTTAAACCAGTGTTTTCCAACCGGAGGAATTAAAAGGGTACTTGAAAGTACTTTCTTGCAATAGTAAGATGGGCTACTATGGCATGGTATAGGTAATTTCAAAGCAAATATTCTCAAGAAAACAGCCATATCAATTATTCTATTCTAAACATTGAACACAATTTGTAATTGTAATAATAATATCAATAATTGGTCTATAAGTGTATACTTTTCTTAATTTTGACCCCGTGTTGGTTCAGTCCAAGCATGACTGAGAGTCTTAAACAGAGATGTTTCTGTTTAAGACTCTTTGTCTTAAACAGAAACACCTCCATAATAGAAACAAATACAATTCATCATAAAATAATCAAAAGAGGAGTTAAAGCAAATTAAAAAGATGAGAACATGGTGTAACAGTATAGCCTAAAAACAGTTCTGGCACGTGGGGAACGAGATAGTTTCTCCCCAAACAACAGGGGGTACTCGCAACCTGTCCACCTTGGCGAGTAGATAGATAGATGACATACAGTAAATGCTCATCATCTGCTAGCCGTTTGCAGAACAGGACATCATTGAAATGATGAAAAGAAGGCAAGGAACTGGAGAGCTTTTTCTCCATTTTACTTTCAAAATCAACAAATAGGGTTACAGACAAATTTAAGCTTTGGTTTTGTTGAATTGAAACATCTCATAAGATTAATGGATGCTAATAGTAAGCTCTTTTATGACAAGTAGCAATGTGGGGGGAAAAGTGTTCTTACATTACCTCATGAAAGCATAAGAAAGGGTTTTTGAAGTATTCTAAGATTTGATGGTTTGGAGTTTTATGTTTGAGCATTTAAGAAAAAGCTGAGTATAATATCAATATTTGTGCTGTTATTTCTGCTGTTATAGACATATATATTGTCATAATTATCTTCAATAAATTAAATATACATGCAGCATTAAGTTAGAGTATTGTTAAAAAGCCAACTTCTGTAATTCACTTACAATGTGAAACTAATATATGCAAACCCATTACAGGCAAACACAGGCTTGGCATGTGTCACTTTGCATGTAACAGGTCCATATTGCATATTAGTTTAACATTGAACTAAAATACAATCCGTATATTACTTGAATTAGAGAAATAAATGAACTTTTGAACGACATTCAAATTTTCCGACTTTCAACTGCATAAATCCTTCATTTTTTCTGGACTGTATTGAATTGGTTGGAATTGTATTGTATTTAATGTAATTAAAAGTCCCCTGTATTTAGATATGTTTTGCACCAGCAGGCTCTGAAATATACTCAGCCCTAATGTTTAGTTTCTTTTTAAAGTGATTGCCTGCAGTTTGTCAGAAAGAGAGAGGTACAGTACTTGAATTGAAAAAAAAAACGACGAAGCTCCCTCCCCCTTCCTTTCTGATTGGTCTACACCTATGTTTGCGTAACACATTTAAATGTTAATCAGAGAACACATTATACATATACATTATTAATACACATGCACAGAGGTTTTCAGAATTATTTGTTAACGTTTTCATGAAAAAAATAATGTTTTAATGCACAAAAAAACGATCGAGGCAAACCCAGAAGAAGCTATTATCATTAATTTGGACATTATAGGACACACCTGCAGAGGATCTGATTATGGATAGAGGTTAAGTATATACATTAGTAACTCAGCGCGGATGTTCAGAATTCTTTGTTCCGTTTTTATTTAGTTCCAGAGCCTAATGGAGGCTTGATTCGGAGGCTTCACGAAAACAAACAACTGAGTATGCGCGCAGCTACAAGCATCAACGTGATGATTGACAGCCCTTGGCATGACTTGATTGGTTAACGTGGACGGCACCGTGGATTCTGAGCTATAGCTAAGAGAAGGGAAGGCGGGACTGTAATATTAGAATTAATAAAATGACTTATTTTATATCAACATTTAAGGCCAGGAAGTCAATTTACTACAATTCTTAAAATTTGTAATTAATTTAGAGTTACATACTATCACTTTAACATAAATGGGACTAGAGTCTATCAATTGTCCTGCCATGGATGTAAACACTCATACTAAATTAGAATGATAAAGCCAGGATTAACCATGTCACCTGATTGTAACTGAAATTACCATTAAAAACCACATTCCCCTGAATTGTAACAAACACAACACAACTGATGAAAAATTGCCACAGTCAGGTAGACGGGAGAGCACATGCCTGATCCGGAGCTGGGCACGCTACTCTTGGCCCCAGCCTTGGTGCTGTTGTTGTTTTGTTTGGCGTTGCTCTGCAGAAGCTGGAACCAGTCCCTCAGCCGCTCGCCCAGATCAGCCAGATCCTGCCCAGTGCAGCTCTCTGTGGGGGAATACAAAATTGGCTTTAAGTTTGTGTGCAGTAATATGCTAATGGATTATCATTAGTCATTCACAACATTTTTCTATTGTTGTAACACTGTATTAGATTTCTTTACAACTCAATTCACTTGTATGTATTATTGTATTCGGAATAGACCCATTGTGATTCGGTGCCAGCCCTGAAGAGGAGTTTTGAGTAGTGGTAGGGTGTACCAAGTTTCTGTCCAAATTCTTTTCTATTTTAAGTCTTGTTATCATTGTCAGGATTTCAACTTTTTGTAATAATGTGACAAAAAGCTGCTACTCTTGACATAGTACAAAAGTAAAGAAATTGACAAAGAAATTGAATGAGGGGTGTATCTTATTATTGACCGTTATTTAACCAGGAAAGTCCCGTTGAGATTTCAGAATCTCTTTTTTATGGGACTCCTAGCGAGAGAGAAGGGCGCAATTGTACATGTGGTAGGAGAAACCAGAGCACCCGGAAAAATTCTATGCAGACACAGGGAGAAAATGCAAACTCCACTCTGAAAGGCTCTGCTGAGAAGAACAAAAAGTCACACTCAAATATTTAGCCCAGCTTTTAAGATTTATTTAATTGATATATCTCATTCATATACTATATAATCCCACCCTAAATATTGCCATACTGAAACAAGCATTTTTTCTCATGTTCCTCCGAAGCCCTGGTCCTTATGCCACAGTTTCATTGATTTGTAATTATTTTGTGTAAATAAAACAACATACTGTAAATACACTCATTATTTTTATTTTAAGTGCATTTTAAGTGTTTTTAGACTAATGAATATAGGTCAAATAATATTTATTTTGTAGGTTTGTGTTTTTATCTAAAGAGTGTTGGGTTAGGGTTAGTATGTAAATAATAAACTACACAATTGTGAATATCATAAAACAAAAAAACACCTTTGTTATATGCTTGAAACAAATAAATAAACTTGGACAAAAAATATTGACAACTTTTGTCTTTTTTTTCTGACTGGGTGTGTAAACTTTCAAGCACAACGGAATTATCTTTATAAAATGCCTTGTTATTGTGTTAATAATTAGTCCATATCTCAAGCTAAACATGAACAAATGTGAACTTTTCCTGAGTCACCATGAGTCACTGGTTGCAAAGCGGACCAGGCTGGCACCATGACGGCCGCCTCCTTCTGTTGTTATTCTTACTATTTATACGTTGCACGTTTTGTGTGTGCGCCTCTGCTCTTACCACGCTTGGCGTCCTTGGGGCTGGGTGCAGCGGTGGGACAAGGACACAGGCCCGAGCACTTCATCGTCAGCTCCTTCCCTGTAAGACAAGCCTGCTGCTCCAGCTTGCACTGCCGAGACACACAGGCAAACAGGGTGTCATGGAGGCACGAGTTTCAATGAGGAACAGGAGAGCTCCAGTATAACGTGAAGCAACACCATTGTCAAACTTAAAGGTGATGTGAGTTTGTATTTCCTTTTTAAAATAATGTAAGTAAGTAATCTTTATTTACATACCGCCTTTTCACTGCAGATCAGAGTCTCAAAGTAGTTTACAATTGTTATTTTTGGGCATCAGTCCCCTCACTCCACGCAGAGATGCAAGTGGGGTCACCAGTACAGGAGGCGCATGCCAGACCTATTTTACAGGTTTTTAGTGGTAGGGGATACCGGAGGAAACCTACGCAGACACGGGGAGAACATGCAAACTCCACTCAGAAAGGCCCTGGTCCAACCGGGATTAGAACCCAGGACCTTCTTGTTGAGAGGCAGGAGTGCTATCCACTCAGCCACCGTACCGCCCGTGTATATTTTTGACCATGGTATTGACCACTCTACTATATCTACTAGCTGAGAATCTTAGGGCACAGTCACATAGGATTTTACAAACGAACTAGGCCAAGTGGCCCGGATCGCCGCCACAGGGTTGTGAAAATGGCCCGCGGTCACAAGAACGTGTTTTTGCAAACTTGCCAGACCAACTGTACTGTAGTACAATGCTCGGTCCAGCAGGTGGCACTAATACCAACTTCAGCGACAACCCGAGTTTGTCTTTCTGTTTACTCTCAGCTACTTTAGCTAACAGCTCGAGTACGGATTGCGTTGTTTAGGGAAAGACACATCTCACAATTGTCCACATTTCTCTGATGCAAAGTGCAGCAGTTCAGTGGGTAACATGTTTGTGCACACGTGTGTGTGAGTGTGTGTATGTGGGCCGCAGACACGGGAGCGCGCCTCTTTAGTAACGAGCGTGAGCTCTGAGAAATGAATGAATGAGAATGAAAAGTGTAACGAAAAGTGTGAGCAGAGCGACCGGAGACAGGCAAGATAAAAGTGTGTGTTGGTGTAGCCTGGTCGTACCACACCATAGTACTAAGGTCGTACTAAGGTCTGGAGGTGCTCCATTCAGCTCCGTTAACAGGTGGAAGGGGTTAACTCCTTTAGCAGATTGAAACGATTGGATCTGAGTTTACCCGTACGTAGTGCGCCCGAGTCTGTCGTTAGCATTTAGCCTAGCCATCTCCTTTGCCGCTAACAAATCCGGTGGGGAGTAGCGCCACAATTTTTTCCAGCGATTACATTTGCTAAACATTACTCTTGCTCTGGCTTCAATTTCTTGATAGAACCAGACCGGATTACTTTACTATCGCAGGCTACGTAAGGGCCTTGCGGTGATCCGCAAGTGAGGTCACGTCACCACCATAAGCTCCGGGCCGCGCGAATATACACTAGGCTTTAGTCTGAGGACAACGGTACCTGACAGGTTCAGGCCGGGCTTAATTTGTATGATTCCACTCGGGTCCGGTTCAGGTATATGCTGCAATTGAGCGCTAATGCTTTCCTCTCGCACCAGAACAAATAGCAAATTAATGTTTACAAATGAACTTTTACATATGAGTAAGCCTAAGACTAATTATGGTCGTAAAAGAGCGGAGAATTACACTCAAACATGCAGGGTTTAGGCTTCGAAAAAGTTGTCATGCTTGGTTTTGGGTCGGATTCGGGTAAAATCCTCTGGGGTATGAGTCTGCCATCACTTTTTAGGCCCAATTAGAGCTCTCCTTTAAAGGAGAATGAAGTTTGGACAGGTCTTACACAGTATTTTTGACTCAAAGCGGTGCCAACTCCACAGCTTAACTTTACTCAGTTTTTGACACTACCCCATAATGCAGAGGTCTGTTTTATTAAAGTAGAAATACATTGAAACGGGATCGAGGGGCTTTGATTTCATGCTTTTGTGAAATATGAATCTTGAATCGCAAAGGTAAGCACACGTTGACCAACATTCTTTTGTCGGACCCAAAGCACTGTGTAACCTGGAGGTCGGATAATCCTATGAAAAGCAAATAAGGAAAAGCACATTGGAACGCTCTCCTTGGGGATGGATCAGTAATTTACCATGTTTTGAAAAATCCTATCTAAAAAACTGTTGATCTGGTCACCCCAAGGTCAAGAAACTTTGATAGTTTTTTTAAACTGTTTTGAAAGTGAGGAACTAGAAATACAGATTTTATTACATCGTTCCATGTTTCGTGGTTAAATAATTATTCTTTAGATTAATTTATGAGTTTAGTTTTGATTGTCCAATGAATATGAGACTTTTGCAAATTGATATCTTGAGTAGCCTTAACAACATTTCTTGTTTGAGTAATTACACTTCTTCATATAGACACAGTATTTAAAGACAGTAATTTAAAGACATTTCATAGACATTTAGAGACAATTTCATATAACCCTGCAAAGAAAAACTCAAATATTTTATAAGCAATTTCAGCCCATGCCCCATGCTCGACACTCCTGTTTGCAGTCTGTTGGCGAAATGACTTATAGCTGTATCAAATATTCATGAGGCCCCCTACAGTAGGCTTTAATTTGAATCAGGGACTGGCTGCTCAATGCGCCTCTCACCTCTGCGCACGTACAAGGTCAGCAATAGTGATCCCGAAGACAAAGTATAAATCAATATTAGCTGAGGAGAATTGTGTCACCACCAGCCACTCCTACGCAGGCTATATATCACGCCTTATTGTCTATACAGGGCCCAGAGAAGACTGGGTTTTTAACTATTCATGCGACCGTATGCGCACGCCACATCGCATTAGCGCTTTGGCAACAATATTGTGCAAATCTGTGACGCTGTTTGACAGAGGGAAGCGTTTTATTCACTATTGACATGTCCCTCACACTTTTGCACGTTTCCTTGAGATGCGTGAGAAGTGTTAAATATATATATACACAGCCCGCATATGGTTGGTGTGCAGCTCGCAGACGGAGGAGAGGGAGAGTTGAAATGAAACCTTAAAAGCATCGTCCGTTTTTAGCTGCAGTGACGGTTTGCTGAGGAGAGAGAGAGGCGGGCAATAGACAGGTGTTTGTGTGATGTGTTGTTGCTGTGTTGTCTATGAAAAAAACTTTAAACATTATACAATTTATGGACATGGGGAGAATATTGAATTGATTATTGAAGCCGTTGTGAAAGTATTTAAACAAAAAGAGATTGCTTTGATTGATCTCTTTGATTGAAAAAAGCCATTTGTTAGTATGATACTTAACTAGTATATTACATATTGATCCCCATGTTGGATAAAAACAGTTAAAAACACACCCATCATACAATAAATTCATCAATAAATAATTAAAATCATAAGAATGACTGACAATAGTAGTTTACTGCACATGTTAGATTCAGATTCATGTTGTTTGATGTCAAAACTAAAGGCACAAACAATCTCTTAAAGAAGCAATAGCAATTTTTTTTTTTTTTTTTTTTTTTACAATTTTACAGTATTTACACGTTTGCAAGAAAAATACTTGAATTCTTGCACATTTTGTCACGTTCATTGAAAGATCACAATAGGTAAGAGATTGTTATGAAAGCCACTCTAGTTTTAACCTGGTGATCTCCTGCCTTTCTCCAAGTAATATGTCGGAACTCTCCTGTCGTTTGCTTTGACAGTGAGTTATACTGTAGATGTTCACCAATTATTTTCACACACATTACACTATTCATTGGTACTCACTAAATACTTAAAGGTTAAAACAAAAATGTTCATATGGAATGAGTTATTAAAAGTCTTTTGGGGTTTGGCTCAACAAGCTTTGCACATGCAGAGACTGAACGTTTTGCGAACTTGTCTTTAAAAACAACTCGAGCTCTGTTAGTTTAAATGAAGAGCGTTTGTGAGCAGCTATTATCTTTAGGTTTGTTGTCATAAACATGACAAAATGTGTATTTATATTAGTGCTTGTGCAGTTTGATAAAAATAGTGATAATATGCTCACAGGACCGGGAGATTAGCAGAACACACCTATATTTGGGCATCGTCTGGTCCTCCCGGTTCTGCGCAGAGGACGAGCTCCCATGATACGTTGCGCCAAATACGTGTTTGTGGCTCTCATGCACGTGCACAGAGGGGCTTGGCTGCGCTTTGACCAATCATCTCTGCTGATCAGAGCAGCGGTAGAGCGGAGTCAGAGCGGGAAGGAAAGCAGCAGAGTTTGTGGTAGTAAAGTGTGGATTTAAAGAAAACAGAAGGATTTAAGAAGAAAAAAAGTTCAGGATGACAAGGGACACTAAAATCCCCACAAAATCAGATCTTTGTGAAAGCTGTAGGTTCTCTGTCAGCTGAGGTCGAGCTGTTTTAATTTACATTGAGTTCTATGTTACTTTTTTCTGGGTAGCCCTCGAATTTAGTCTGCAGTACCACGGGCGCCCCCCTGTGCCCATGGGTGGGACAGCTATAAGCTAGTAATACCCTTTCCAGTTATTATTATAGATCCATGGCTATTTCACACATACCTTGGAGGCGTAGTTGTGTCCGTCGGAGCCGCACACAGGTCCAGAGGAGGAGATGGGACACGGCTGACAGCTGCCATCAGGAGAGCGGAGAGCCGGCTGCTTCAGTCTGAAGGGACAGGATGCACCAAAGTTATTCTGCTTCAAGAGAGAGGCCCGTTGTGTAAGACCTGTATGCAGGGTATACAGAATAGCTAGGGCTTAAAGAAGAAATAATATGCATTATATTTGGCTAGTAAAATGATAATGAGACTATTTACTTTGTCATTTAATGTTGTAGAATGTGGAACAATATTTTCAGTAGCAAATATGTAGTAAAACATATCAAGGGTTAATAATAATTTAATACTTCTACCTGCTCTATCCCTATGCTATCACCAGAGGGAGGAATATGTTTTTTCTCAAATTTGAAGATTTCAGCTGCAACTACTCTATGTGATAAAAAAACAAAACAAACTTAATTTTGCTTGAGAAATTGCCAAAACTAATGTATGGGCAATTACTTTAAAAGTCGTCTGAGCTGACTTGTCTTAGCGAGTGGCTGTGTTGTTCTTCATGTTCGTGAAGTAGTGCCACTGATATTGCTGGATGTGGTCTTTTATATTTAGGTGAAACAAGGCAATTTCCCTGGGGACATAAGTTTCTATCTATCTTATCTAAGGCAGAACGCTTGAGCGTCTGTTAAATAGAAAGCGAAGATCTGCTCCATGACTTATGGCACCTGTTCTTAGTAAGCCTGCTGACAGACTCAATATAATCTTGATGTTCTACATGGAGTTTTTATTTTGCTTTTGTTTTTCAAGATAAGACATATCTGAAGTTGCCTGCAGCTATGACCAAAACAAGCAGCGAGTGGGTGTACTTGCCCTGTTGCAAGCAGCTATTGGCAAGTACCTCGCTCCTGGTTGGCCCTTTGATTTGCCCAGAATTCCAAATGTTCCATGTGTAACTGTTCTCTTCTTTATTTTGAGGATGCGCTGACAAAGCTCCTTTTTGGGCTTGTATGATTTTAGAATTTAGATTTAGATAGATATTTCAAATAATTTTCCGAGAAGATGAAATGAGACAGAAGCTTTTAATGCATTGGTTTTACATACTGCTTTTCTGGACACTCAAATACGCTTATCATGTCATTATCCTTTCACTCCATACAGGGTGGTGATAAACTACTACTGTAGCCACAGCTGCCCTAGGGCACAATGACAGAAGCGATGTGCACACGGCCCTTCCGACCACCACCAACTATTCACACACACTGACACACACTAGGCAATGTGGGTGAAGTGTCTTGCCTAAGGACACAACGACAGTTTGGCAATTTGGCACCTGGTGTTCCACAGGTCTCCCATCACTGTACTAACCAGGCCCTGCCCTGCGTAGGTTCAGAGGTCTGACGGGATCTGGCTTTCGCATGCAAGTTTAGCAGACAGAAAGGACCAGTGATACATGTTTGTCAGACAAGTTTGTAATATCAACATGGGTAGATCTCAAAACAACTCCAGGTCTGTTTTTGATGAGGGAACAATGTTGTAACATGGTTAAAAGCTCAAAAAGGTTGTTCTTCATAAGACATGTTCAAAAGATGAAAAGCTGGGCTGAGTGTTGGAAAAATAACACACACTTTTCAACAGTCAGCCTAAGAACGGCTTACAGACAGCATTATTGTGACCACCATTCTTGTCTTGACCCCATTTCTCGGTGTATCTTCTCTCCAGTGTGTGTGCATGGGGAGTTGGGCTGTACCGTGGAAAGGCTCACCTATGCTCCAGCTTCTTGCGGTTGACACACACAGCCCTCTGGTAGCCCTGGGCGATACACACCTTGTGCCGGCTGCACTTAACCTTCTGACAGGGGTCCTTGGTTGTGTCTACATCTGGGGGAAACATAGGAAATTAGAAGCAGGCTCTGAAAACCTCTGAGCTTTATCACTTCTTTCTGTTATCTCTCAATCTCGCGAGTTCTGAGAGAAGTGGGAAAGTGTTGATATTATTTTTACGCCCGGATCAAGTGGACTGATGCAGGATATAAACAGGTGGATCAGAAAGGGCACTGTGGGAAACGATGAATGCTTTTATATAGTTTGTTTCTTTGAGCAACACTAAAAACAATGTTACAATGTACAGTATGAACAACACCATGTAGAAGGGACAGATTACTCAGAAGTAGTAAGGCCTATCCCATTTTCACAGCAATATCACAAGACAAATGGAATGTAAGAGTACAAATTATCATACATATAGACATTTTTCATTATTTAAACAGAATTTTTGTATTGGTCGTTTTTAGAATAATACAAAATATGAAAAAAATAAACCGCAATATTATTTATGATTGTTTTATACAGAAGTTTATTGCATTCACAAAACTGTCTGTTTTTAGTCAAGTTTGTTTTGGTTATGGTCTTATTAGAAGAAGATTCACTGCAGTCTCTTCAGAAGGGAAGACATAATGAACTTTCTTTACACCACCGTAGGATCACCTAATTTCGCCTGCTCCTTCTCGAATTATGATACCCAAATGGAAATGCTTATTGTGTGGACATCTTGTGCCTGATTTTGTGTTATGAGGCCTCATTTGAAAGGTAAAACCTTCTAGTTTCTGAAAATGTATGTTACAGTTTGTTAGGAAGGACACAGTCTGCATTACAGCTTCTCAAACATGAGTCAAAGTTAGTTTTTTTTGTCAAAAAAAATAAAAGGCAATTTCAAAAGGTTCTCCTGAAGACATACTTTATGGTATGATGTTCAAACTCACCAGAGCAGATGTTTGTGGTGTTGGAAACACCTGTATGAAATTTTAGACCTTTAGGTGGAACTATTTTGATGCTGGGGGCTTTTTTGTAACTAATGGGCACATTCGGCACAAGTGGTCCATTTTTGTGCCAATTGTGCCAAAGTGTTTTACATGCAAATTATCAATGTTTTTTACATCAAAAATCCATTTATATAATTTTTTGGCTATTACTCTTGCTATAAATAGCATTTTTTCCAGTTATTGAAAGGTTTGCAGAAAAGCTATTATTTATATAGTTATAGCGCGTGTTCTCCGTGAAAAAGGCTCCGTCTTCCTCTTTACGCATTCAAATATGACGGGAACAGTGGGAGGAAGCTACAGTAGAAGTCCGACACATCGCCTGAAACGTGAGATTATTGGCTTCAAGATGATTTGATTGACATCCAAATCGGCCAATGGTAGTCAAGACAATGCTGTCGTGACGCACAGATATCTATGTGAATGGAGCGCTAAAGCTAGGTGCGCTTGTTTTACTCAACTTACTCTACCTTCCAAACCATAGCACTGAAAAGTCCGGGAATGGGCTTGTTTTGAAGGGGAGGCTTAGGGGAAGACGAACATACCCAGTGACGCTAGGTAAACAGTAAAATGTCCTCTTCATACAGTGCGCAAAGAACAGGTTTTATTTTTGTTTGTGCAACTTTCAATACTCAAATATGTTGTTACAAGTTGATATCTACTATAAGGATGACTTTGAAGAAAAAACAACTGGATATAATTATTCTCTACACCCTAAAGAACAAAACGAATGCACACATGTGTGGATTAGACGTGATTTGCCCCAGAATATTAGCATGAGAAGGTAAGAAAGGACAATATATATTTTAAATATATATACAGTTAGACTACTTATTCTTAATTTTGGTTGTATTTAATGTTTATTTGAACATAATACGCGTTTAGAGGTGGGAATAAGCTTTCAAAAGAGATATAGCTTGACTATATTGACACAAGTGAATTCTAATACTGATGCTGTTAAATGAAAAATAACTGAATCCTCCCTGTACAGGGAGGGTGATCCTTGGTTTTACCCAGTAGTATATAGGGCGCCCATTTTTACCATTTCACTGTCCTGCTGCTGGGGAACACATGCTCATGTCCTCCATCCACTGTGTCCTTTTGTTTTGCATTTTTGCACCCTTTTGTTTTTGTTTGCACTTGGTCACTTTAAAAAAGAAGAAAAAAAGAAAAAAATAAGTGGACCAAGCCAAGCCTGCCTGTGTCAACCTTTTGTATGTTCTTTCTCACTGCCATCCAGCCGCTCAAGGCCTGTCCTGTCCTGCTAGCTTTTGAGTACAAAACTCAAAAGCATAATTTTTATCAAGCTCCTTATCACACACAACTTATTCATACAACAACCTGTGAATACTTTTACAGTGTAAAGTAATTTTGACCCCCATGAAGATTTTAGCACTGCTTAATTCTGTATGTGGCTGTCTTGCTAAGAACACAACGACAGTTTGGCACTTTACAGCCGCAGCCATCGCACTGTTTTCAGATACCTCCCATCGCAGTGTGATCAAGGCCCTGCCCTGCTTAGTTTCTGATGTCAGACCGGATCAGTCATTCTCATACAGCTGGCACCTCATGTTGTTGTGTCATTAACAGAAGCCCATCAATGGTTGATCTTTACATTTTCTTTCCTCATAATAACAGGATTTATTTTACTCATAAATACAGAGATATTTTCGCCATGAAAACAGATTTCCTTTTCAAGCACATGGAATAAGCCTCCCTCGTTTGTACATCTTAGTGAAAAAGAAATAAAAAAAACAAATAAATTCTAAAGATAATTATAATTTTTCCTTGTTTTTATCTTTATTTCTGTTTTTTGTTTGTTTGAGCAAGACACTTATTACCATAACAGAAGTAACCTTGCCTCTGTTATTGGCTACAGACTGCTGATCCAAATGGTGTCAAACGAGTGGTTTGTTCATTTACAGTAAAAAGGCTCAATGAAATCAAATCCACTCTTTCAACCAAAATGTCAACAAAAATGTGCGTATCGCAGGCCTGGCAAGAGTCTGCCAAATGTGATGCTGTAATTCCAGAGAGAAGAAATTCAAATTAGACCATCTTCAATGTTAAAAGGCTTTGCTAACCCCTCATTCACGATACATAGCAGACTCCATTGGCTTCAATTTTTGAATAGGGCCGTATAAATTGGAACTACAGCTACAAATAAGGTCAACATTAATTACTGTATTGAAGATTAATGAAATTGGTCTGACGTCCAAGTATTCAAAGCTTGGACGTTTAAAATTTGAAATTCTTCAAGTTTTAAACTCAAAATAATAAAATAATTCCCACCAAAAATACATATTGTTTGTTCCCATAGAATAAGTCAAATTCTGGGATAAATAAGCTAGACCACTTAACGCGGCCTTCCTCTTATTCATATTTTTTCATACTTTATCCGTGGGAGGCTGGGTGAGGGTAGTCCTCTCTTTTTAACTTTTCTGTTTTAAAAAGGCCTCTGTCAAAGATGCAACAGGAGCCAAAAAATACATGCTTGTAAAAACTAGTGTCAGAACCAAGCCAGGAACTTTAGTTATTGTCTTGCGGTTTTAAACACAGAGCCTTCAGCCGTTCTGCCCCCCAGCTCTGGAACTCTCTCCCCCCTGACCTGAACACGCACCCACCATTCCATATTGTACTTAACTGTTTTATTCTGTTGCTTCTGTTTTTAATGTTTTTATTATGCTCTGTACAGTGTCCTTGGGTGTTTAGAAAGGCGCTTTTAAATAAAATGTATTATTATTATTATTTTTATTAAAGTTTGGTACCCATGCTTTCAGAAAAGGCATACCAAAAATGAAATGGGTACCTACTCACTGAGACTCACTGATGTTTTTGAACCAGTGGGGGCGGGTCCCAGCTCCAAAAGGTTCATGAGCATGTGGGCTAACATACTTGCAATACCACCCCGAGACGGTGGGCGTGGACTCGGGATAAGAATTCCCCAATGCATTTGCATGGCATCCTGTAAAACGGCTTAACGAGTCCTGACTAGAACCAGGAAGTACGACCATATTAGTCCGGTCCTCAGGTCTCTGCACTGGCTTCCTGTGGCTCAGAGAATAGACTTTAAAACAGCTTTACTTGTGTACAAGTCTCTCCATGGCCTCGCACCAGGGTACATCCGCGACATGTTGGTGCCATATGAACCAACTTGGGCTCTGAGGAGCACTGGGACTGGACTTCTGTTAGTGCCAAGAGTCGGAACTAGACATGGGGAGGCTGCGTTTCAGATTCATGCAGCTAGAGTCTGGAACCGTCTTCCCGAGAATGTGAGACAGGCGTCTACTCTGGCAGTTTTTAAAACTGGACTGATAACAGTTCTTTTTAGCTGTGCATACAAGTGAATGATTTTATATTTGTCTTTAATCTTTTTAATGCGCTATGACTATTTATGATTTTAATTCCTTGTGTGATTTTAATGTTTTACGATTTTTAACTACTTGTGTGATTTTATTTTTTATGTTTTTAATACATCTTGTGCTCTTAATCTGTCTTTTTATGTTTACTTAAATGCTAATGTTTGATGATTTATGCATGATGTTATATGGGTTGTGAGGCGCTTTGCGTTGCCTTGTGTAGGAAAGGCGCTCTACAAATAAACGTTGATTGATTGATTGATTAACAGGATGGTCGAAAAGTCGTCTTTTGGCCCAAGATATGGTTCCAGATATGCATCAATGCGTGTGGAGTACTTTTTTTTTTGGACCACTCTAGTTTAGCCTCTGTGGACTTCAGAAGGTACTCAACAAATGAATGGGGCTAGTGCCAGCTAACGCATGCACAAATTCGTTTTTTCACCTTTTCCTGCCCCACGACCCATAAAAGACTAAATTAGTTTCAACGGTGGAGATAGTTTGATCAGCTTTGTTTTTTTGTCGCTGCCCAAAGCACCACAACTTATATAGTCCTATAAAAATATATACACAATATTATTTTGTATTAATTAACTTATTCATCGACAGTGGTCCTTAACTACAGTATGACACAGTTCCCCTTTTGCCTGGACTCAGACTTAAATTTTAATAGCCAAATCAAATCAGTAACATCAGCAGCTTTTTA